TGACTTTATTTTCAAATGTATAATGACTGTCAGTCAAAGGAAATAAAAAGAAAATGATTATATTTTTTCATTTTAAATTGAAGAATAAACATACTTTCTCATGCAATTAGTTGTGTAAAGGACACTTTAACAGCGCGATTAGAGTGTAGTTATCAGTTATTGCATGAATCTACTGTGGGAAGCATTCTTCTTGAGGGGTAATTATACTTGTAAATAGCCCAATTTAAATAATAGAAACTATTTTTATGTTTCTCAGATTTCAAAATAATTCCCTTATCATAAAAGTATGTTGAATGAGTCTTTAGGACTTTATTAAGAATAGATCTCCATGACTTAATTTGGCAAAAAGCCTACTGTTATTTTATGTTGTCGAGCACATTTTGGGCAGTCTGTTTACTCTTGTGTGAAATTGCCAGGTAAATTTGATTAATCAACACTATTATGGAAATAATTTCATAAGCTAAAAGAGTATCAAGAGTAAGCAACCATTACTCCTGATGACACTAGTATTGTCACCACCTAATAATTTTCAAATTCCAACTACATCAGTTATTTGGCATACTGATATAAATATATTACTAAGAATTCACATAAAGACAAGTTATTTTTAAATAGCTAGGATATAAAACAATTGGAAATTTAAACTTTGGTATTTTAAGAAATAATTTAGCTTGCTCTATTAAAAATAGCCATGCTATTTGGCTTTTCAGTTCAATCAATGGTGCATATTTTTTATTGTCTTGTTTATTAGTTAATAAAGTTTATATATCTAGCACTCTAGCTATCATGTCCACTTCAAAACCAGTTTCCTTACCAGTTCTTCATCTTAAATGATATTACCTATAAGCCAAACAATTTCTGGAACTACTTATGCTTTTACATTGTGATTTATTAATACACATCTACGAATGAGTACATATTGCTATTTTCCTTATAACTTTTCTGATATTTTCTCAATTTTTCTTCACTGGTTTCTGATATACTCCTTAAAACTTAATAGTTCTTTGTGAACTATCCTTATTTTACTTTTCAGTATTTGCTTTTGTTTACAGGCTACTCATAACTTGAAAACTCATAATTGACTTTCAGGTTTCCAAATTTAGCATAGCTCCATCTCCCAATCATCCATTGGATTATTAGATAATTTTTTGAATTACCTTTATCCATTAGATCACTGAACCTCAAGTTCAATGTATCTGAATTAAACTGATATCCATCCCAATCCTAAGAAATCTTCCTTGTCACTTTCTGTCTCACTATTTGGGTGCTGAATAATGGGTTCCTTTATGACTTATTTAGGATGATGTTAAAACTGAGCTGACTGGTAATCCCTTACTCTATGTCTAAAATCCACATATGAGTGAGTACATACCATGTTTGTCTCTTTGTGATTGGTTTACCTCACTCAGAGTGGTTTCTTCTAGTTCCATCCATTTTCCTACAAATTTCAAGATTCCATTGTTTTTTTTTTTTTTCTACTGAGTAGTACTCCATTGTATAAATGTACCACATTTTCTTTATCAATTCTTCCACTAAGGGGCATCTAGGTTGCTTCCAGATTCTGGCTGTTACAAATAGTGATGCTGTGAACATCGTTGAACAGATGTCCTTGTTGTATCAATGTGCATCTTTTGGGTATATGCCTAAGAGTGGAATGGCTGGATCTTGTGGTAGACTGATTCCCATTTTCCTGAGAAGTTGCCATACTGATTTCCAAAGTGGTTGTACAAGTTGGCGCCAGCAGTGGAGACCCCAGGAACGTGGGTTTCAGTGAGGAGACCTCGGAAATCTACAGGACCTCCTGTAGTAGTTCAGTACTTATCCCTAGCATAGGTATGGACTTTGGGAGCACAATCCACATACAGAGATACTCCTTGAGCCAAGACACACTTGGGTGAGCATAGGCCCTATCCCAAAGGATATGATAAACTCTGATGACACCCTATGGAAGGCCTCACCCTCCCTGGGGAGCAGAAAGGATATGATAGGTAGGGTTTTAGTTGGGGGGGTGGTAGGAGAGGAGGGGAGGGAGTGGGAACTGGAATTGACATGTAAAACCATCTTGTTTCTAATTCAAATTTAAAAAATGTGAGCTTCCACTTCTGCAATGCAAAACAGTGCTGTTCTCCATGCTTTTACTATAACTGCTAAGGTCCTCGTGCTATATTCCCTTTCTTATTGGCCCTACAGCCTTTAGATTTCACCTCTCTTCTTTCTCAACAAACAATACATCAATCATCTTCTTAGAGCTTCCTGTGTCTTTTATATCCTTATGGGTTAAGCTCTAACAGCTTTTTCATGGTGCTAGCATTTTCTTAAAATCTGTTTACAATTGACTTCATTGACATTAAATACTTTTCTGCTGAGTATTTGGTCATTAGCTGCACCTTTACTGATACTGATATATATATACTAACGGCAATTCCTCATTAATCCATACCTTCAACTTTTTTTTATCAACTACATAAGCTCTGCTATCATTATATAATGTTCATGAGTATGGTATGCTATATATTAATTATTATATATTTACAGTATTGTTTAATTTAAGTTGGTTAAGGGCAAAGACGACAGTATCACATTCATCATCTACTAAAGTGAGACCTAACTGCAAATCTTTAACAATTCTATTGTGAGTTGACCTAAAACTATTATATAACACATATAGTATATTGTAAATCATATTTCATAAATCTGCATAAATCACAAGTACTTTACTACATGAACATACTGTATTTAATGATCTGTGCATTTACATATATTTATGTAAATACAATACTTAATGGCTGAGTAGATATTTAGATATTATCTTTTCTAATCATTGTACAGACACTGTCTGACACTACCACAATGGAGAGCATGCTATTGACAGTTAAAGATCTTTCCCCAGACCTTTGTCATTGAAAATTCCGCTTAAATGAAGTCGTCTTTCATGACATTTCCTGTAAACAGTAGAAAGAGCAAGTACCCTCAACTCCTCTATCCTCCCAGTTCCTTTCCTGCCTCTTTTCTCTTCTTTTTTTGTTTCTCATTTAAATCAAATTTACATGCTAGCTTCTCATCAAATGATAGACACATGATTGTACCCCCTCTGCATTTTCAGTTACAATGTAATCTTTCCCTTTACATATGTCCTACTTCCTCTGAGAACTATTCTCATCTCATTTCAGATCTAGTAACAGTTCCCTTCCTCTAAATGGGTTAAAAAAAAATGAAGAAATAGTTATTTTGCTCAGCAGGTTAAACTTTCCATTATTTCCCATCAAAGAGGGGAACACTGTGAGAAACATAATATCACCATCCCCATCACACCACCTTCTGTTTGCACAAAACTTGACAATGCATGAGTTAGTTTCTGATAACCCACTTGATTCCACCATGCCATGTGTGGATGGACAGTCAACAGCAAGTGTTATCCAAATGAGGGTAGCTGAGGAAGTAAGGGTCAAAAGTCAAGCGAACTATTCTTAGAGCAGACTAGAGCTGAACCTGGCATTGGAATCAAGGTCTCCATCCCCTTGATCCCCGGTGCTTCCATTTTAAACTGTTAATTGGCTTGTGTTTCGGCCTTGACATTAATGTTTACAAATATTGGTACCCAAGAGGCAGCTCAGAATGCTGAAGACATTCTTTTTCATCTAAATTACTACTTGGCTCATGTTCCTTTGATAGTACAAGTTTCAACTAGCCCAGCACTGTTTGCCCGATGTTTATCTGAGAAGCTCTTTCTAAACTCCCAAATAGTACCGGTTTAGAAAAAACAAAAAACAAAAACTTTCACTTTTAATTTACCAAGCAGTTGATCGTCAAAGTGTTAGCAAGAATGATTTTGCTTTACCTAATCTGTGTCTGTATTTGTGCATGTACTAGCAGGCATGTGCCTTTCATGAAATGTTCCAAGTGTGTTTTCTCTTTAATTGAATTTCTGTTTAATTCCCTTACTAAGTTGCTTGGATACTAGGACCTTCTTTAAACCTTCAGTTATCAGTGTGTTTGATGTTAATGGATCTGCCTCTTCAACTGGGATAGGAGGGCTGAAGCCAGAAAGGAGACAAGATCTCTCTTTTGCGACTGAGGCACTGAGGCACTTTTGCTTTTATCTCGTCCTTCTCAATATTAAGGCATCGCCCAGGAACTCTCAAGTCATCCTCAGCTCTCTGCAAGGAGAATGCGTCCTCCACTCTTTATGAGTGTGTCAAGTCTCAGGTTGGCTCGGGAATTCCATCTCCTATCATGGACAGAGTATCCACCCATCAAGCAGAGAAGGGAGCCTTGGGGCAGTGGGTTTTGTTGTTTCCCTGTGGGTTCTTGCCTCTACGGTGCTTTGCAGGGAGTCTTAGGAGCAGCGAGTTGCTGCCTTTCTGGCTTGGTCGAAAAACAAAGCGAAAAGACTTCTTTCCCCGGAAGGAAAAGTTTCAAACCCCACACGCTAATGACTCCACACAGTAAAAATCACTTTAACTCACTCATTACTAATTGCACTGTCCAGCCTTCCCAAGGGTCTCTAGGAGCTTCTTTTGCCTCTTACTGTTCGATCTGTCCTCACAGAGCTTGACTGTCCCACACACCACAAATCTACACTTAACAAATTTAACTCTACCCCCTCATATATAACAACAGTAAGCATACTGTTTGCCCAAACACGGCATAAACATAGGCGAAACTGTTAACTTGTTTTTTGCTAGACTGTCATTTTAGAAAGTCTTAGACTGGAAACCCAGAGAAGAAAAACACTTCACTTTATAATGAAAGTATAGCACTGCCCTCATTCACTGTCGAGCTGCAAGAGAAACAATCACCCCAGTGACTCACTGTTGCCTCTTAGTTATGTTGTTCTTTCCTGATGGCTTAGGACGTGACCTAATTCGCTTGCAGGAATCATACTTTTGACCTGAGGATCCCGGCATAATCAGGACCAGTTGGAAGCACAGGGAGCCCCCAGCTCCCGATCATGGCCCCAGATTTGCAGATGGAAGAAAGGGCAACTCTGTCCCACTTACCGGTCTTCCACAGATAGAGGGTGGGCACCTCGGCGTCTCCCTGCGCAGCAGCCCCGCGGGCGCCGGAGCTCAGCAGGAGCAGCAAGAGCACTGGCAGCCGCAGCAGCTGCAGGACGCCCCGGCTCCGGGACGCCAGGCGCCCGGCTCGCAGCCCCATGCTGTCTGCAGCCGCTCCAGCCTCCGGAGCCGCAGTACTCTCGCGGGGGACGGTCCTTCCTTCTCTACCAGAAGAGAACGCAAAGCTCTCTCTGCTGCTATTGTTCGCTCCAGATGAAAAGCAGCCAAAGAGCAACTAACACTAGGGAACAATAGCATCCGCGGCGGCGGTGGACGCCACTGCCGCCGCCGCTGGCGGTGATGCTGGCGGGGATGCTGCCTCCGCTGCCATGGCGCGCTTACTGGCAGGTCCTAGCGGCGAGGGACACAGCCGGCCGCAGGGGGCCCCAGCTGACAGGGCCAGCCCAGAGCTCTGCGAGGAGCAGCCCCCGCCGCCAGCTGTAGAGAAGGGAGGGGGGCGGGAGAAGAGAGGAACCGAGCGTACCCGAGGGGACCACGGGCGGGGGACAGCGAGGGCACAGGGCCAGCACCCAGACCCCACGCGTCTGCCCTGAGAACTCCCCGGCACATGGTGCAGTGAAATATGTTTGCTAGGATACACCAATAAAAGGAATCATCTCAGGGCAGGCTTCAGGATGACGAATAACTGACATTGAAATTCATCGTCACCCAAGGAGTCAAATGCTGATCTAGTGGCGTGTTATTCTCCCTGCATATTTATACAAAGCATCGGTGTTGATCATTTATTCTGAAGCTGTGCCTTCTGAATTACTTTATGTGAGGAGCGGTATTTATGAATCTATAAGAGAACAGAACAGAACTCACTGTCAAAAAGCAGTTGAGCACTTTCTTAAGTGTTCTTTTTTTTTTTCAACTTCAGTCCATTCTCAGTAACAATGTGACCGTGGTTAGACTGTGCCAAACTGAACACACTGTTTTGTAATCACCTTTGAAAGTGAATTCGTACTAAAGTGTGCGCGATGCTGTCCGATTGTATGAATAAGAATGTGCAAACACTACTAGCCGGATTTTATTTCAACAGTGAGATGAATAAAAGCTCTCTCTCTCTCTCTCTCTCTCTCTCTCTCTCTCTCTCTGTGTGTGTGTGTGTGTGTGTGTGTGTGTGTGTGTGTGTGTGTGTGTGTGTGTTGATAGCACACTAGTAAGCATCAGAGATGGGAAGAAAAATTAAAGTGCAAATGTGTCAGTAACAGTAGCTGGCTACCTCCCAGTTAAAAAACATTTTTACTTAAATTTTATTCCTGAGACTAGTATTTCTTGATTCTTTTTTAAATGCTTTTCACAACCAAAATAAGGAACCACATAGCTTGTACCTTTTGTTCTCTGTTTTCATTTTCTTGGATCAGTACTAACAGAAGAATGTGTCCAGTCAGATAAAGCTTTGTCCTCCCCCACACACTCACAATAACTGTCTTTTATTATTGGTTCACTTCCTTGTAAAGCTTAAATAATATCAAGGCAGTTATCCATTTACAACAACAACAATCCTTCAGCAATTGCTGAGTATAACTTGTCATTTGGTTCCAATCTTACATGAAATACAATAACATTTGAGAAGCAGAAAACTTCTCTTGGTGATTACCCACAAGGATCAGTCACCCAGAAGTCTGAAAGGAGAAAGCTACTGTTTCTCAGGGAGGAAACCTTCCTAGGACTCCCTGGGGATGCTTGTCATTTCTCTGAGCTTTCCAGACACAGCCCTTCTGCGTGCATTAGATTAAAAGCAGGTTTGATCAAATAATTCCCAGGTCCTGCCTGTTTAAGTATTCTGACATCAGAGGAAATTAGCTGCATTCAGGGTTGCAAATTTGGTCTTTGTTTACTTTTCACTCTGTTAGGCCTCTAAGAGGGAATTAAAAGCTCAGAGAGACCTGGCCTGTGTCTGTGATTAGAGGCAATAAGCCACTGTGGCTTACTATTTCTACACTGGTGAAAAATAGGCAATGATCAAAAGATTGTAAGTTGATAGGGATACAAAGGAAGCCTGATCCTAACTAATGTATGCTTCCCTAAAGGATCAAGTCCTTCAATGTTCCTACTGTCAAAGAAGAAAAAGACCTGCCCTTGCCTCCTGGGTTGTATCCTCTCAGAAATTGCTCCTCCCTGCAATGCCACTCTTCAAGGAAGCTTCTCCCTACCCCTTCTGGTTGTATTTCTCCGTTGTTGTCAGTGCCCAGCCCTGAAGTTCTGTCACCTCACACTGCAGATGCTGGGTTATTAGTACCCATTCATAGCATTTTTCATAATCCCCAAGTCAGTTCACCAGGTGGAGGTTCATTATACAACAGAAGACAGGTTGGAAGGAGACAAAGCGAAGAAGTTAATGGGCAAGCTGACCACCTAGACCTCCCAAAGCCCTCAGATGTTACACTTCATAGCTTAATGTCAAACATAAATTTAAGATGGGATTTATTTTCTTACTTATCCAGAATGGTAGAATAATGACTAATCCATGCAAGACATTAAATATGATAGCTATAATGTCAAGGCTAATTTCTAAATCAGAATCATTATCATTTAAAACACACAACCAAGGTAACATGCTGTGCAGAAGTGTTTGAAATTTGCCATCAGTAGTTTCCCCTCTTTTAACTGAAACATAAACCAAGCTTAGTGAACTCCCCCACCCCACACACACACTGCAAACCTTCCCTAGTAGTGGAAACATCTCTAAACAGTGTTATAGAAACTGAGTTATAAGAACATATGTCTCTACCAATACCATGTTTCTGTTCATACAATGTCATTACTGCACCTGAGAACAAAAAAAAATATTTGGGCTGCTGAAGAGACAAGCTGATATATATATTCAGATACATAACACTTTGTGAAAAAATACTGTCCACATGGATAAACTGTATCAATAAACCTGATAGATGGCAAAGGATAGCAAGAAATACCTATCTTTGTTTTCTACAATGATATAAATAATAAGCAAATGTTTAATGACACCATGTCAAAATACAGTTCAGAGACGTCTCAAGGATGCAGATTAAATTGGCCATCTGTACAGCCTGCCATGAAGTAAACCAACCATCATTTTTCATGAACTGTTCAAGTACTAATGAGCCAGGACTGAAAAATTTTTCCAAACCAACATTTTTAATACTTAGAAATGGCACAATTCCGACCCTATCCATTAGAGGTATGGTACCCTTTAATTGCCGTTTGTTATCTTTGCTGTCATTTAGGAACTCCACTGTTTAAAAGTATGCACATTCATACACACACACACACACACACACACACACACACTTGACTCTGTGTGTGTGTGTGTGTGTGTGTGTGTGTGTGTGTGTGTGTGTGTGTAAAGGCAATTCAAAAGGCAATTATAAAAATTGTTTATTTGATGGAAAAGGAATCTATCCTAATACAACTTTATGAATTTAATTAAGTGATGCAATATAGAGAAAATTATTTATTGATAGGATAGTATACATAAAAGTATATCAAATGCTTATTTTTAAATAATAATCTTAAATAATTTCTCCACATAGTCACTGCTAATTCTAACAACAACCAAAACTCCAAGGAATTCTATTTATGCATCCTCTAGGTGTCATACTTAACCAAGATTTGTATTCAACAAAATTTATTTTATGCTCTTTCCTATCAATCCTCTGCTACACCCATCAAATTACAGAGAAAAAAAAAGACATTTCACATTTGACCTCTGTGGTAAGTAGCCATGTTTCTTACCTTCTCATTTTCGACTGGTATCTATCCACGATTTTCCTTCCAGTTCCTTTTTAATTACCAACAGCATACTACGTTGGATTTTTGATTGGTTGGTTGATCACTAGTTTTCTGATTTGGAGTTTTAGATCCTGATAAGAGGTAAGATTTTAAATTTAGAAGTTTTACAGAATAATATTGTCATACATTCTCCATGTTATTAATAACTAATGTCTTTTGGAAACAAAGGAGAGCTTATTTTGTATATCAGGTGAAAGTACCATGTTTTATTGCAGATCCTTCAAACATTGGGGATAGATTATGTACAGCTGGTCTTAGACTCAGGGCGTATCCTATCCCAGGTGATCTGTGATACATCAACAGTACCTGGCAGAAGACAGCAGTCAATGTGTTAAGTAATCTACCAGTGGTAACTAGGGGAGAATGTTACTAGAGAGCTGAGCTCTCTGGCTAAATACAAGGTTTTAGATATTTGAGAAACACAGGAAAGCAACATGGACCAGTTATCATTAGTGTGTTGATGTCATGATGCACTGCAGAAGGTTATTTAAAAAGCCTCAGTCCTAAACAAACAAACAAACAAACAAACAGGAAGCTTATAGAACAGTTCTTTTTAGTGGTTGAAATATTAACCTTTGTCTCCTTCTGTGGTAGAGTAGAAAAACCTGAAGACCAAACTGAAAATCTTAAGAATTGATGACTTCAAAACTACTGGAAAGATATTCTGAGTCAAGTCTATTGTGTTAAGACTAAAGTCCTACTTAGAAAAACCTGTGCCTTTTTTTCTGTTTTTGGTTTTTCAGCAGCTTAAGTGAGATGCTTCCTCTGACATGAAGTTGCAACACAGTGTATGTCTACCTCATCACAAGCTCAAAAGCAATGGGAGAAACCTCCAAAATCGTGAAGAAAACCAAGCCTTTTCCACATTTAGTGGATTACCTTAGGTATGTAACAACAGTAAGGGAAAGCTAACATATCCAATTGTCCGAAAATAATTTATTTATAAGATTATTTATTTTTCTCCCTGAACTGCCTTTGGCACCTTTGTTAAATGTCAGCTGACCATAAATGGAATGAATTGTTTCTATTCCTTAGTAAAAATGACAAGCTTTAGCTTATACCAACTGTCTGTAGAAAATTATGAAATTCATTAAATGCTCTAGTTTTTGTCTTTCCAAAAAGTGGCTATTCAAAGTCCTCTTTGTTGTCAAAAGTGTTTTGGCAAGATTTTTCAACTTCTACAAATTGCTGGCAAAGATTTGATTAGAGAGAGTAACAAATTTTGAGACAAATTTGAAGAATAGTAATGAGTCTACTGATTCATAAACATGGGTGTGCCCTCCATTTATTTAGTCTTCCTAAATGATTTTCATGAATGTCCTGGGCTTTTCAGCACAAGAAAATTGTATATCCTTTGTGAAAATTTCCCTTAAGCACTTACTTATTTCTTATTTTTCAAAAATATTTTTCTGATTTTGATTTCAGATATTTTTTTAACTAGGTCATAGTAATAAAATTAACTATTTTGGTCTTTAGTGGTAAAAACAATGTATTTGGGCTCCTAGTTTAAGTGTTATAATACTCATGGTGAGAATGCTTGGGGGTGGCTCCATGGCTGTG